AAGCTTCAGAGCTAGCCACTTACACAGCAGCTTTCATCTGTTAACAAAAAAGTCAATTTTAAAAGGTTAACAAGAACATATAGATGAGAAAGTGCATGTATATAAATAACAGATCCCTGACTGCTTTTCTATGAGATCACCTTGTTTAAAAACAGTCACAAAAACCCCTTCCTTTGCAGACACAAAAGTGCAGGTGGTAGAAGAAAACTATCAATATACTAAAGATAACCACCAAAACAATAGGAGGTTAATATTTATAAAATATGTTTTGTGGAAAATTCAGAAAAAAATCTGTTGTTTATTTGTATAAGGAAAAGGAAATAGGAACACCTTCATAAAAATATGTGGTTCTTTGCTTAGAACACCAAACTCAACTTGGAATTACTCCAAATTCAAACGGGATGCTAACTATAACTACAGTATTTTGATACAAGCAGATATTTGTGTATACAAAATCATAATCTCTGCCACCTTCCATGCAACCACTTTACTTGTTCACGAGTTAAAAAAGCTGGCGATTCATTAATTTTGGTAACTAAGTCCTTTGGCAGGCGAATCTGAGATTTAGCCTGTGTTTCCAGATCTATTGCTTCTCTGACTGGTCTTCACTGCTGTGTTCTGTTGTGTGTGTCTTCTGCTGAAGGGGAAGGAGATAAATCCATTCTCAAGCTATCCAACAGATGCAAAAAGAGAAAGCTTCTGGAAGTGTTCAAGGCCAGGCTGGATGAGGCGTTGAGCAACCTGGTCTAGTGGAAGGTGTCCCTGCCCATGGCAGGGGGGTTGGAACTAGATGATCTTTAAGGTCCCTTCCAACCCAAACCATTCCATGATTCTATGAATACAATGTGCTGCATAAGAAGGAAAGACACAGCACATGAGGAGGAATAAATGAGGAGGAAAGACTTACGGGAAAAACCCAGAAAGAGCAGGATGCAGACTATCTTCTCTAGGGAACAAACGATGGTGTGAAAGCAGGGAATAGGATTGCACTGCTTGTTGCAACCAAGGAATCTGAAAAATTTGTTGCAATTATAAACGTAACCAGCGTAGCAGGCCTGCCATAGAAGGCTCCTGCAGAAACGGGAGAACGTTTGCCTACTCTGAGCGTCTCAGAAAAAAAGTTATAATTTCAATTTGAATTCCTACAAATCACATTTTTGATATTTTGTGGATGCTTATTTTGAAAAGACAGTTTCGTTTCTGTTTCCACATGGAAGTTTCATTTTGAAGTAGCATATGGGAAATGTATCAACAACTATTATTTTATATGGCGACACACAATCAAGAGCTCTCTAAGATATGGTGCAAAATTTGGAAACATTAGATATGCAGTTTCCTACCTAAACACTATAATTCTGGAAACGTTCAATGCCATTAATTCAGCCAGACAGGAGAGCCATTCCCTTTCATACAAAGGTCTGAAGCAATACCTCCCTTTTGTGGTAGAGTGTTAGATTGTAGACCATAGCAAAGACAGAAACCAAGAAAGTCAGGTTGTACATACACAAGTTCAAGAGCTTGAAGAAGTTTTAAATCCACCTCAGTTTTCAAAAAAAATAACGATAAAAAAATACAATGCTTTTGTCTAGGAGACTAGCTTTCATCTATTTAGGTGTTCTTTCTTTAACTGAAAAGCAAATACACAGGGGGGAAAAAAAAAGCAATGTAACTTCATACAACAATTGAGAAATTTACAGTAATGATTTTTAGTTATCTGAAGAATAAAAGACAGTATCTAAGGTTTTTTTTCTCCAGAAACCTTGCTGCAGCATCGAATAAAACCTGTTTAGAATTGCATGAAAGTCCCCAAACATACCACCTTGTATTCTAACCTTTCTGCAACAAAACAGCCCTCCGTGTGTATGTGAGCAGACTGCCAAGTTCACCAGAAACATGGTAACTCATCTGATGTACTATTATCACTTAAAAAACCCAAAGTGCTAGAATATGAACACTGAGATAACAATCTACTTTATACAGCAGAATAGTTTCTGTTCCACTACACTGACTTAAAATAGCATACTAGATAATTTAAATTAAGTGTTATGAGTTTTAATCACCTCAAGTATTTATATAAAGATCTTTCGAGCTCTGTGTTACTGCTCTCTATGGACCCAATAGCTCTGAAAAAACCCTTAATAATAAGGGTCTCAATAGTCTCTGCTTACTATATGAAGATAAAATAACTAATTTATTACTTCAAACTTTGAAAGATGTTTAATTCAACTGCTCATACCTTAGCAACAGCTGATATCTGCTCCAGTGCCACAGCGTGAAGATCTTGATCTGTGCTTTCTACCATCAGTTTCAGCGATGGCAGCAGGAGGGACTGGTTAAGCAGCAGCAAACATAATTCTTTTATACACTGAAAATAAAAATAAACTCATTTGGTGAGATCTCTGGAGACACTAACATCGTCATTCAACCTAAAATTTATGAAAATACTATGTCAAATCCAAAATGAAAAATCAAAATTTTAAAACAAATGAACTCATTGTTGGAAATAACTCTTCAGAAACCTGAAAGGACAAGGTTAAAAAAAAAGTGCAATACAGGATTATAAGTGCAACATTTGTTACATTAAAACAAGGCAGGTACTGAATCACTATTACAATCTGGAGTTTACCTAAAGAACAACACAGCAATCACAGCATTCTATGGGACTAATATATCTATGCTTACTGAAATACTGCAAAGCACAGGAAGAAACTTAACAGACACCTGTGCCATTTCTGTAACTCAATTATGCCATCATAAAAGTGGAACAAAACAAAGAGCAAATAAACAGTATATACTTGAGTTCAAAATCCTAAAGCTCTGTTGCAAATTCTTTTCAAATCTTAATAAATTTTTATATACAATTAAAGCTTAGCAAATTAACTTTCCCTCATTCATCTAATTTCTCATCTTTCGGAATATAGCACAAATTTAGCATCATAAATCTTCTGCAAGGAGAAACTGGCCAGAGAAATATCTTAAAGACATACAAACAACAAACCTACCATGTATTTCCAAATCTTTACCTTGGCTTTTGGTTAAAAATAAGTATTTCCTACATCTAAGTTGTGGTTTTGTTCTCCATCAACACTGAAGTGATTTATTCACTTATACATGAAAAAGTATTGCAACTAAGAAATTATGTTATAAATCAAATTATAATTTCCTCTTCCTTTTTTGTCGTTTCCCAGAATTTTGGTCATTTGTTCCAACCACTTCCCAATAGGGCCCATCAGAGATACCCGATATTCCAGGACAACTTACACTAAGTGCTCTGGATACTGTATGAAAGTCACCTTGGAAACGGTATCCAATTCTCAGTAGTGCTCTCTGTTTCATTCCAACATTTAGAGAGCAATTTTCAAAGGAGATTATCAGTTTAAGTTGAGAGAATGCAAGTCATGTATTTTTACATCTTTTGAAGTTTAATGACAAGTGTAACAATTTGATGACCAAAATGCAACCACGCTTTTAGCGCCACAGTTTTAGTAGCTGTGAACCTAGTAATTATTTGAAGATGAAGAGATGTTAAATGCTCCAACTGTAACGTACTGCAGACACCTGGCCTTGCTTCGCACTGGAAGCTATCTGGCTGCACGTTGCTCTGTCTTTCCTGAATTTGTACCTTCAAGAAACACTACCTAGAATGATGTATTCCTCCACACTGAGCGCTGAGTCACTGAGACAAGGCTTGTTCTCTTAACTTTTATTCTGTACTGCTACTGATAACATTTTCAGTAAAGAATATATAAGATCAAGGAATAAGATTAAATAAATATACTAAGCTTTGTCTGATCAGTCGTATGCTTATTAAACTTCTGATAATTTTGTATTCCACTGTATTTCTTTTGAGCAGTATGCCTGCCATACCAGCAAACTTACTGAATGCAAAGTTGGAGATTCACACTATGTCTCCTTTTCCTGAAAAGGTGGTTCCACAGCAATAAATGCAGCTTATGTTCAGAAAAATAAATTCTGAGAGTCATAAGATACATAACCTGAACAAAACAGCAATTTTACCAAGCTTTCTTTCTCTGTCTGAAAGCCTCCCAAAACTAAATGGAAAAGCAGTGCCACAAGAAAGGATCTGTAACTATAAAAAGGCTCTCTAAAAGAACTTCAAAACGTATTTTGGGGTTGTGAGAGGCAGAAAAGGAAACTGAGCAAACTGTAAAATGTAAATAGGTACTGTACTTTTTTAAAGAAACAGAACTGACAAAGAAAACATGCAGATGTTGAATCAGAGTTTGCTGTCTCAATGAGTCACTTTAAAATAAAAAAAAAATTTCCTCTCAGCAAGCAAATGCAGAAATACAGATACTAACACTGCTATTTTCAAAGCAATAACATCTAACTCAGATGATACGCCAGCATTTTCTTGTCTTCGATGCTTCACAACTGTACTCCAGTACTGGTTACAGATTCTAATGGGACACGTTCTAACACATTCTGCTTTGTTCATCACATTCATAAAGGTCTCCACATAAGAAAACACATGCTTAGCTACCCAATTAACGTCTGTTTGTCTTACACTAGCAGATTTTGAAGCCAAATTTCATTAGTTTTCAGGCAGGTACCAGTCAGATGACTTGATTAACTTTGTGCATGATTACAGCATATCTAGCAGACATATCTATACTTACCTACAAACCCATCTCTCTTGAAAAAGAAGTATATGTTCCAGCAATTCATTTTACTTACTGTCAAAATACCATGCCTTACACTAAAAATTGAACTCAATTGGTTCTTGTTACACCTTTGTAAATCAAGAGTGTTTTATTAGATTCTGTTCCATCTAAAATATCTGCAGAATAAAATCAATCACTTCTTGATCTCTCATAAGCTAATACACTGCACTCCTTCACTCTTCTACCTCAAGGTATTTCCACTGTGCACCAATTTCTGCAAGTTGTCTCTTTTACCTCTTGTTTTTTCAGTGTCCTCTTAAAATGCAGCTAGACTAACATGGTGTTTCTTTCTAATGTCAGTCTCACTAGTGGTTTATGGAGAAGGGTACATCTTATCCACCCTTCTTCATTTGACCTCTCTTATAAAATAAGACCTCAAGGAGTCTGTTTTCCTGGTACACTTACAGTACATCATCATGATTGATGGCATACAAATATGAAAAGGTCAGTAATAAAAAGCCAAGATAAGCTAAGCATTAAATATCTTTTTTGCTTCAATTCTTAATAAAAGATTTCAGGCAAATGAAAAATTAACAGTTGACAATAATAACGGGTGAGACTTCAGCACTGAAAATTCAGTCTAAAATTTTAAAAAATGTTTATAGGGCTGAAAAGTTCACCCCGAAATACTTAAAAGAAATAATAATTCAAGGTAAGAGACATCAGCCTTGATAACAAAAGAGGTTACAGAAAACTGGAAAAGAGAAATACAGTCTGTCTTTCAGACTTGGAAGTAAGCAGGCACAAAAGAGGGAAAGTGTTATGGAATTATCAGATACGGTCTATGAAACACATCAAAACACACCATGAAAAAACCAAACAAAACAGAAGTATGCATACAGAACATACAGAAGTATGCTCCTAAAGGCCCCTGCAACACGTTCTGTAGTTCAGAACAAGGCCATCACTGTGGCATATGTTGTTTAGCAGCACTTTGGAAATGTGACATGAAACACTGTCCTCTACACCAGGGAAATCAGGTGTAGGATAGTGTGGTCAAACCTGCAAACCCTTGGAGTGGCCTCCATCCTTTTTGCACAGGACAACTTGCCAAACACAGTCAGTCCAACAGTACACCACACCTCCTTGTACGCCTGCCACAAAGGACTGCACTGCTGCTCTGGACAGCAGCTGGAAATCCAACCTAGGCAGCCAGCCGCTGCTCACAGCGCTTCTCAGAGCAATGCAAGCAGCTTTCTTTTCTGCAACAAGCACTTGAAAGCATGTGTGTCTGCCTGCCTGCAACGACAGGCTGTGCTTACAGGGGGTATGATGTTACCTGCGAGAGGGACAAGGCAAGTCCAAAATCAAAACCTGTATTACCATGGTTTAGCTGAAACTTTGGTAAGATCACTTTTGTCTTCAGTCTAGTTATGCAGCAATCAATGGTTCACTGTAGCACCAGAGAAGCATATAAAACAGACTTCATAGGAGTCAGTTTTGATCCAGTACTGTTTGGTATTTTCATGGATGGTTTGAAGGGCTGGATAATGAGTTCAAAGAGTGTTGTGGCTGGAGAGGTGGAAAGCAGACTGAAGGGTAGCATTTAAATTCAAAATTATCTGAACAAAATGATCAGGGATGACAACGAATGAAGAAAAACATACAATGTAAAAACTAGGAACAAATGCCTACAAAAAGAGAAGAAAGGAGACCAACTGGCTGCTATATTATTCCAGGAGATAAGCACGTTATGGCGACTAGGACCCCACGATTATTACAGATAAGAGACTAGATGGATTCTCCCATTTAGGTGTTTACGTTAACTGACACATGACCCACAGGTTGATAGAAAAAAAAACCATATATATGCAGAAGAGCCACACTTTGACACTTACTATGGGGAGAAAGATTTGCCCCTTTCTAAAGAGATTTATCAGGCAGCGTGGGTGTCACATCCAAACACATGTGCCTTCCAAGCAATTAAAACAATGCTTTTATCAACTATGAGGAATGGAAAAATCTATCCACTGTATAATGCAAATTAAAAAACCAACCAACCAACACAAACCAACCGCACACCCATACACAGATATAAAGATTAAAGCTGTGTAACTCCAAAGCCATTTAAAAAAAATAATTTGGCTGCAAAAAACTGTAAAGATCAGCAGAAGGTGGAATAAAGGAAAAGACAAACCTTTCTGATTGCAACTAAAGAGATAGTTTTCCTAACTGCTAGACCATCATGACTTGAAGTTAAATATTTTTCCATCACAACCTTTGACTTCAGTATGGCCAATGTTATTCATAGTGATAAATTGATCTCTCTGTTTTTAGAATGCCATCATTCTAGGTCTGTCTTCTTAATCAGTGCATTTATTGAAATGTGCAGTCAACTAAACAGGTCAATTGTCAGTAACCAGATTTTCATCTTATTCAGCCACACATCTCAACTAGTTTGTGCACTTAAGTACCATAGCCATGCATGCAAATAAGTTACTTAAATCTATCTTTGTCATTCCCTCTCTTCACAAGTGCAGACTTAAAGCAATACAGCCTGTTTGTAGGTAACTGATACAATTACACATTTTAGTGCAACTCCTGTTGCTGCACATTACTGTAGTCGTAAAAAAGACTATTTTACATTGGTAAAGCTTTTTTATGTTTGAGGACCACAATATCTTCACACTGTATCCGTATATTCGCACCTACACAGAGGGCTCATCCAACAACCTGTGCCATTACAAAAAGCCATCACCTCCAACCAAAGCTGGAAGCAATACCAAAACTGTGTATAAATAATTAAAATATAAAGTTGTTATGAAATTCAAGAAAAAGTTTGCTCAGTTAAGACAGCTGAGCAAACTGTGACCCGCTGTTGAGCAGAAAGCTTGGTGAAAGGACTGCTGTACGACAGCGACCCCCGGCGGGAGTTGCCTTCCTGGTTCACTGAGGTGAGTTAGAAAATTCTACTCTGACAGTTTGACTACTCCTGTGCGCGAGTTAAGTGACTTCACAAGCTATGATGCACCATTCAACACCTTGTAAAGAAAAGCTACGTATACTTATGCCAGTCCCAGACACGAGGAGACCTGCCTTCCACCAAAATTTTTGGTGGAAAGAATGAATTAATAAATGCATTTATCGTTTCAGCTGACAGACACCTTCTGGAATCATGGTTTACATAGATTCTGAACTTGACTCAAATCAATCTGACTATTTGAAAAACCCCATACTCCATCTGTCTGCATTTTAAACAGAATGTGTTGCTTCTATTCTGCTTCTAGTCTTAACATCAGCTGTTTTTTGTAACTGACTGTGATTGCATGAAGATGATTATAAGGGATTCATCAGACTACTGAAAATATGCACGACTACTCTAAAGTTGTGTAGAGTTTATTAGGCATTTCACAAATCTGTCGTCATTAGTACACAATGTTTACATACAAAATGCTTCAATAATTTTATACTTGAGATGCTGGTATTGCAGTATGCATACACAGTTAAGGAAGAGAACACCATGAGTATTAGAAAGGTATTATTTGTGTGTATATATATATACATACATGTGTATATATATATATATATTTTATCACCAACACATTTTTCAAGGATTCCTCACTAAATATTTATGCATCTATTAGTGAGAAAATTACTGGTTATTTAAGTAACAGCTTTTGTCACACTAACATCAATGACAGTCCACTCCTAGAGCCTTTCTGTAAATACTTCAAAGAATGATTTACACACTGGAACAGACCCCTAAAGGTCAGTTAAGCCGACTAGCCCCCAATCAATGAAATTCAACAAGATCCAATTCCCTATGATGTGATCCAGTCAGTTTCTGAACACCTCAGGATAGAGACTCGATATCTCCTTTAGACATCCACCTATTCTAAATGTTTTGCCACTTCAATGATCAAAAACATTTTCCTTGTACGCAATGAGAGTTGTCTCTACTACCTCTTGTCCTACCACTGAGCGTAACTGAGAAGAAACATGGAGGAGGAGCCAGCCTCCTCATCTGCATATTTAAAGACAACAGTATGATTCCCCTTAGCCACCTCTTTTTAAAACATAAGGAACTCAATTCTCTCAGTCTCTCTGCATTTATTGTGCTCCAGCCCCCTAATTACCTAGTTAGCTCTCCACCGGACTTGATCCAGTATGGCAATGACTTTCCTGTAGTTGTGACCCCAAAATCAGACTCATATCCATGATATTCAGAGTTAAAACTTACCTTGGCAGGGAGCATGTGCTTTGTCTCATACAAAGAACGACATATTTTCAAAATTTCATTTCCTGTGTTCTCCTTTTCCTCAGGTGCGCATCTCTGTAGCATAACAGTCCCCAGTTTGACCCAAGGATTATCATCTGTGCTTGATCTGCCCAGAAAGAGAGAGATGCGTATAGCATATGAATATACACCCCCTCACCATTTTCTGTAGGTGTGTGTTTGTTTGTTTTGGTATTTGTGTGAAGTAAATTACAATCTAATGAAAAAGAGAGGGAAAAGTTTTAAGACAAGTTACTACCCTGACGCCATCCTTCTTTCAATGCAACAAAGCATCTTAAAGTATTTTGAATTTTGACATGCTGTTATAATCCCCGAGGAATCACACACCAGACTGAAGACTGATCAAATTGGAATCGTATAGGAACAACTTCTCCTGGCTTTATACCAGCTAATTTCCCAAGCAGAATAGCATCAAGGGAGGGGTGACAGGAATCCAGCATTCCTAATTTTGTTTGCTTTGATCACATTCTAACAGCATCTGTCTCTCAAGTATCTGTCTCTTGCTCATGAGTGGAGAAAATATTTTCAAGAGTCGCATTTTAATTTTCATGTCCAAGAAGTACAAACAAAAAATGAACTTTTCTTATAGCCCATGCAAACAGGGTAAGAGAGTGAAAGTACATGCATCTGTACTGTCCATCTGTAGATACGGATGCAGAGACATTTGGTTTACGTATTTAAAATGTTCTTTTCATTCCACACAGAACTTCCTGCCGTGTGACCATTATGCACTCAGACAGACAGGTGATACAAGTAAATTTTATCACATATGATGGCAAAAGCAATGCTTACTCTAAAGTTTTGTTGCTGGAACATTTCTTGGCCTACAGCTGCTATCTGCTGGATCATGTTGATGCTTGGCTACTTTTGTTAGGAATACGTGGCTAGGACTGGTTGTACTGACAGAAATGGGTAGCAAACCAGAGCTTTTGAGGATATCATGAAGTGTAACACTGGAATACATCCACCCTGCCATTTACCTAATGTGAATCTAGTTAATGCATTTCAATTCCCATCTACAATGGGCTAAAAACATGCACCATCACAGCTTAGATCATTATCATATTAAGCCACAGTAACACAATCACTATGTTCATCTGTGCACAAACATGGGAAGACAAAACAGGTGATTTTAAAATCATCCCATCAATCTTTGGCCACTAATCAGCATCACAAAGATATGGCAAATTATTCACTTTAGCTTGAAGGAAAAAACTATTAAAAAAAAAAAAATCACAGCAAGACCAAATCTGGCAGGTGGGTCTCACGATTTGGTGCAAATTAAGATAATCATCCAGCACATGTGGTAAGGAGCAGTGCAGTGATGTCAAAGTACTGCTTTTCAAAGATATTATTTAGTAGCAATTGTTGAAATTAACACATGAATAACAGTGTAAATGGAGTCTGTTAAGAGTCTCTGTTGGATTGACATATACCAAGGAATAGTTCTGACAAGACTGGAGAGGACAGCCACCGATTTCTACTTCATATTCAAAAGCTCTGTACTGCTCATCTTCCACTTTCAAAAGTACATGCTGGAAACAAATAAAACCAGCTCCACATGAAGCTGACATCATATCCTAACATGAAAACCAGACAGAGATGCTAGGAGCGGGTAACTCTGAACACAAACTAAATAGAAGCATTAGCTTTATTCTTTCTGACAACTTAATTGAGCATTTCCATCAGTCACAGTCCCTGAGCGCAGAGGTGCCACAAGTCTGGCTGGGAACAGCAGAGCTCCTCCTCTCCTCTCCTTCCGACCTGATGGGTGGAACCCAAAGATGCCAGCTTATTCAACAAGCAAAACATGATGCACTTAATCTGTGAACCCTCAGTAAGGTTGGGAGAAGAAAAAAAAAAAAACAAAACACCACAACACTGCAACTCCATCTTTGCCACTGGTTAAATTGATAGCTCCTGCTATGTGATCCATCGCTTGCTTAGAGGCACAGAGAGTCATAATGAATTTCCATTTTTATAGCAGCTGCCTTTAGAGCACATTAAGAAAACCTGTAAGAATTTCCCATTAGGAAAAAAACAAAAACAAACAAACAAAAAACCCCACCAAAAAAAACCCCCAACAAACTACTACAGAACACAGAAATTAGAAATAACCAGAAAGATGCAAGGCCACAAGGCTTGCTATTTACAGGTTTATTTAAGTGTCAGAGAGATACTTTACATGTATAAAGCTTTTCTCAACACAATTCCTTATAATTTTTCTAATACTTGTGTGATCTATTAACAAATACTCATTATCTGCCATCTCTAAATAAAAACAAGATTCAGTTACAAAAAAAATCTGACACCTACAGGTTGAATTCACATTTATTCTCTCCCAGATTTTACCATAGTTCAACTATGGTCAAAAAAAAGTTATTTCTCAACATGAAAACAGTAATTAACTCAGCATAAATGCATTCTCTTTTTGCCCAGAAAGAAAAGAGGGAAATTTTGGATTAAGTTTAAAAAAATGAAAGGTGAACCAAGCTACTGATTCCCTAAAAGCTGGTCTTTTTGAGTTCCAAAACACCTTATCAATATTTAAAATAAATATAAAAAAATGCCTTTTGAACATGGTCAGCAAGTTCCAAAGCAATGCAGAACTTCAGGTATTGTTGGTATTTTTTTTTGTGAAAAACATCTTTATGAAATGCTTAAAATTACATCTGAATATGACACACCTAGATGGAAAAGTATGTATGCAGAAGAAAGGTGTGAAGATGAAGTTTTAAATAGTATACGCTGTTCCACGTGCTGACTGAAATAACCAAGCTACCTCTCTGTTTCCTCACAGTCCACATGGCATATTATGATAGGAAGCGAATCATATTTGCAGGTCTATAACCAGCATTATTGTAGCTGTTGTTTTAAAATACAAGAACCCAAAAAAAAAAAAAAAAATTGAAAAGCAGAAATTTATCATTAACAGAGAGGTCACAAAAATTCTTTAAAGAAAATTAAAGGCTACTCAAAAACCTCCAAACAAGTTCTCTTACTTCTCCTTCCTTTTGAGCCTTTATAGGATGTAAATGGTGGTTTTTAGCTTTATATACATTTATGTGTGTTAGATATTTACTGTTAAATTGAAAAACAAAATTCTAAATATACAGATGACTCAGACTTAAATTCCCCAGTTCCTGCACATACCATTACATTGCAATTAAAAATCAGTTAGCAACAAGGACTCTTTTCTGAATCAGAGCAGGAATAAGATTAAACAAAAATCTTAATACACATGGCTAAACAACTGGCTTAACTGCTCACAGTCTTCCTTTTTGCTCAGGAATTTCTTAATGCAACTTGCTGTAAAATGAGATTGTTGCAAACCTCACTAACAAAACAGTTGCTGCTCCTTATTCCAGCCCAGCCATCAAAATAGGTCTTTCAGAAACACAATTTCAGGGACATATTTTTATATATGTACATATATGTATAAAAATATAAAGTAAAAGCTTGGGGGAATGTTATCAATGGTATAAATACCCGATGGAGAAAGTAGAGGGAGTGCAACCTTTCTCAGCGATGCCCAGTGATAGCACAAGAGGCGATGGGCACGAACAGAAAGCACATTTTACTAAAACGTAAGAGAAACTTCTTTGTGGTAGCAGTTGCGGAGTCTCCAGTATTGGAGATACTCAAAACTCAAGGCAATGGCCTTGAGCAGCCTGTTCTAGCCCACCCTGCTTTGAGGAGGGGGGTGGAGTAGACATCTCCAGAGATCCTTTCTGACTTCAACTATTACTGCATACATGGAAATCACAGAATTGCAGATAAGGTTGCGAAAGGATTTACCTTGTTCTCTCGCCTCTTATCTCAGCCAAATTGATTTATGTCAAAAGTGTGACTGTGTAAATGCCTAGTAGCTACACTAACTACTCTAAACCCTAAAGGAGTTAGGACACAGGTGATGTATATATTTTGTGCAAATTTTCAGACTTCACCAGTCTTGGAACTGAGAGGTATCCCGCCTCTAGAATTTAATCCACTGTTAGTCATGATGACAAATCACATTTAGACTTTTTTTTTTTTCTCTCTCTCTTCAGGAATTCAGCCTGAAGGAACAGAACACCAAGTGGGAGATAAAATTTATATAATATTGAACTTCCTCTGTTACAGAGGAGAAGGCAAAAACTGTATATATACAAGTAGGGTTCTCCTTTCACAAAATCATTAGTCTTCTGTTCAACCCAAGGAAAAAGAATTTTTCTAATTGCAGCAATATTTCACTTGTCCCTTTGTTTCCGTAAGTTTAATGTTGGGGTTTTTTTGTTTGGTTGGTTTTTTTTTTAAATCTCACCACTACCTTAAACCAAGTTTGACAGTTTTCCTGCACACTGTGAGGCATCCAATTTTCAATTACAATTAAAACTAAAAAGGAAAGTTGAATATGAATTTGCGACAGATCACACAGCAGACCTTGTACTTCCTAATGCAATGAAGATAATGTTTGGCTCATGAAACTGTCATAAAGAATTTAGGTTAATGCTTCTGCAGAAATTGCAAACAGGCTTGAAGGTGAATAACCCTTACAGATTATCTTCTGTTGGACCAGTTCTCTATCACAAAAGAGTTACTTTTCATAAAAGATAAGCCTTAACTTTTCTGACAGATCAATGCACAAACACTTTGGGGAGTGTAGTCTCAAAGGTAAAACAGGTTGTAATGAATACCCCAACGTAATCCAATGGAAGCATCGTTTAATGGCTCTAACAAAACTACCATCAGATAAAACACGGCACACTACTCACTAGCTAAAAAAAATATTGCTCTCCTTGAAACATATGTGGCTTTTGCTGCATAACACAAGATTATATGAATCCTTATACTTTAGAAGTGATCATCAGTTATAGAAGAGCTAAAATCTTACCTTTGAATGTGTTATAAAAGTCACAGGAAAAAAACCATAGAGATGGTAAAAATGAATATAGTCAAGATTATGATGGCTGCAATGTTGAAGTTTTAAATCATTATTTTCATTTTAAGTTGTTGGGCTAGGATGTGTATGCCCTAGTATATATTTTTTAATTTTGGATACTTTATTCAGAGACAGAAATAAACTGCAGTGGATCTAGAAAGAAGGAACACAATTTCTTGGTACCATTACACTCACAGACCTCCAGCAGACAGTCTGCCACAGGCATCTGAACATTAACTTTCAAAGGTTTTTCTGTACAGTATAACTTTGGAAGAAAGTCAGAACTTTCTATACCTTTTCATGGATTTTGTACATACTGCCAAAAATACGTAAATTAAAATTCAGGTAAGTAGAAAACCCTCCTGTGCAACAGTTCAGGCAATAAAATGGTTTTCTGCCTCCTCCATGATGCATACTACTTATGTGTATATAGTTTTTGCAAAAATCCGACTGATTCTATTCTGCTTTAAATAAACCATTTATTTTCCTCAGTCTGACCCTTTCTAAAGGTCAAACTCCTCTCAGCCATGTTTGAATGCACTGACTGAAAATTACATGATATCATAAAGAAAGAAGACTTAGAACTGTTTTGTTACAGGACTGACTGAAGAAATGCTCACCCGTTGCTCATGTTCATTGGTGGCCAAGCTTGAAGGAGTAAAACCAAGTGCTGAAACTCGGATGGACTGTGACTAGACTCCAGAAGTCCCAGGAAGAGATCATACCTTTTTTCTTCATTTTCAACATCTGCTATCTCTACCTGAAAAACAAAACAACCAAAAAAAAGAAAATCCACAGATTCTTTTTTTTAAGAAAACAATTATTTAAAAGCAATCAACGATTTATCTGTGAAGAACATCACTGCTGTAAACCAATGCAGAACACAGTGAATATAATTCTTCCAGAAAACCATTTTCATACCTCTCATTTTCAATTACATGCAAATAACAGAGAGAGCACACAGACACTGGGGAATGACCTAGGTGTACATTGCTAAAACAATCACAGAATGGTTTGGGTTGGCAGGGACCTTAAAGACCATCCAGTTCCAACCCCCCTGCCATGGGCAGGGACACCTTCCACTAGACCAGGTTGCTCAAAGCCTCATCCAGCCTGGCCTTGAACACTTCCAGGGATGGGGCATCCACAGTGTAACCTGGCCTTGAAGACAGCCAGGGATGGAGCATCCATAGTGCAACCCCACACAAGTACATTGATTGATTAGTTCAGAGGATCTTAACTCCGTGTTCTTCAAACAACCAAAAATACCTTAAATTTCCTTTTCTCGATATACATACATACATACACACAGACACATGCACATTTTTAAAGAATGGGTATGTCTGGTGCTTCCCTAACACATACTACTCTCACTCACACATGAAATTTCAATAGTTTTATCTGAATTTACACCAACTAATCTTTTCTCCCACAGGAAAGACCTGTGAAAGATGCCTCTAAATTAACTTACCCAGTGCAGAACATTTGCTGACAAGTACTGTAATATTTCTCTGTATAGGTGTTTGAACCTAAGAAAACCAAAAACCCACACTCTGTCAGCCAGCCACCAGACAACTCTATCTCAGGAAAAGTGTCCACCTAAATTTAAAACCTGCAGCTTCTGCCAGGACTTGAATTCACTTCTGTTGATGACAGGTTCTTGTAGAGACAACTACTTCTTGTGGTTTGCATGGTAAAAAACTACAAGTTAAAAGGCCTGATTGTTGAAGGAAGGTTGCTATAAATGAGAACCAACTTGCTGCTAAATGAGAAGCAGGTTCTGTGTAAAAGTTTGGCTATCACACTAGGAGGGTTTGCACAAACGGAATTCACTGTCTAACTGACATACTAAAGTTCTTGAAGTTTAAAAGTAATTTGTTACAATAACAAGGTAGCTTCCCCTGCATTATTAACACATTCTAACACTGAAATTTTCCTTCAAACTTCAGAAAGTTCCAGGATAGCAAACACTTCAGTTTCACCTTCATTCTGCTGAAGATAGACAGCATTAACTGTTACCTTTTCCATTTCAGCCCAAGTAGTTCTAAGACATCAAAAATGGACAATTTTCCCTTAGTTCTACAGCTATTCTAAAAGATTAAAGATCTTATTCTCATCTTTTCAAAACGACTCTGATACATGAAGGGCAATTTTTTCAAAAGAGGTTGGAAAACAAAGATTACTGATGCATTTATTGAGTTGCCTACATACTTTCTGACTAAAATATTTAGTGCTGAAAAAACGTTTGCTTCTCTCTCAAGGGTGCATGTGAAAGTACCTTTACTAAAGTATTTTAAATAGTGAAGAAATTTTTCTGAGATCTGTCCATCTAAAATACTTCTCTGTACTGCAAATGTCACATAGCAGACATCAGTTACCCATCTGTAATATCCCTAAATTCCATCTACCTTGTTAATATAGAATATTATAATCCTTAGTATTTAAATCATGGGCTGAAAAGAGAAGGGAGAAGAACAGGAAAGGCTAATAGGGACATAAGTCATGCTAACCTCTAAGGACCAAAAATATTTAGCAATTTAGCAAATTATGTACTGTCTAAACAACAGAAGCTCTCAGTGCTTCATCTGTCCCCAAAGTTCATTTTCAGACAACTACCGCTTTAAATATTTAAACCAAGTAAGTAGCATTCTCTGTGGTCCACTGAGTACATTTTAGTATATTTACACAAACAGCATGTTACTTCAAAACACAAAATAAATGTTCAGATCTCTCTAATGATAACCACAAAAATGGCAAGAAATGGCACAGATAATAGATGAGAAAAGCTGTCACAGGAATTGAGTCATTAGTAGCAGAAAGCAGATGGCAGTAGATCAGACACCCTATTCAATATGAACTGAATTCTAATAATATTGCCTAATCTTTACAGTCTCAGGTTCACATTATTTATGAGGTTAATTAGGTCAACATTATAATGTTGTGTTTTGGATCTTTGCAACATGATTGTTCATAGCAAAACACATATTAATACGATCAAAGTAGATCTATTCTTAAACTTCTGCATTTCCGCCACATTTCTTTCTACAATGGCTGTTTTTCACGTCTCCTACATTTCCCACTACGAGTAATAAAAATAAATTGACCTTTCTACAGCATTATAGTTATTTTTAAAATTGTTGAAAAAAATCACGTTTTATATGTAATTTTACATGTACGTCACTTCCATTTCCCATGAAACAGGTGAAATTAGAAAGCAGAAACATGGTGTATAAGTATGCATACCTTTAACTGTGCATGTGGTGATGAAAAACTGCAGGACTAAGAGTAGAGAAAATGGAAGGTTAATGAAAGAGCAATAAAATGGAAAATACCTGAGTATTGAAGGGTAGATAACAAGTATGATTAATTTTTTAAAAAAATTACTAGATTTATCCTATCTTAAACTCCCCATCCCTTCAACTGTTAAGACCTAGCTTTTTTCCTTTCTTCAGTGTACCTTATTCTTCTGCTGCATTCTATCATACTCCACATACTTCTGCATTTCAAGTATGTTTTAAGCATTATTACACTCCTATGTCAATGTCATCATTAAAGTAACAGTTTTCTCTGAAAAAGAAAAGCTGAGATTCGGATGTAAACCAACGCTTTAACACTAGAATGCCTGACTGTGTGTGACAAAAGTCACACAGTCAACTGTATCAGGAATATTTTTCAAAGATACTCCCAAGTTGAAAACATCAGCAAATACATGCTGATTTTGGAAAGACTGCATCCACACCTCACATTACATGTTGATAAGTCATCCCACTGTTTTCGGCAAGCTGGCACAATGTCTGCAATTGTACCTTCTGAGCAGCAGCTGTATTTAACTTGTGTGTATATGCCTTTACACAAAGATGATGATTGAAATTATGCATGATTTGCCCACTAGCATCACTAGGAAAACCCTAACGATCATAAAATCAACACTATGAACCAGAAATATGGACAACAATAAAATATCCAAATACTTCATTTGAAAGAATTATTACTCCTATAAAACAAAGAGTTTATTTTAAGTTATGTATCAGTAGAGATATTATCTGCTATGAAGTAAATCAAGGCACTTGCATTAAATAGTTTCCACAATGCCTTATGGTTTGCATGACAAGATACCTTGCCCTGTCTCCAATTCATTCCTTACAATTCTACATAAGTTATAAATCATGAAAATAGTGATAGTTCCTTGCTACACCAATACTTTGAAGGAGCACACTGGAATGTTTTGGGTTTTTTTTAAATTTATATTTACAATACATATATGGTTTTCAACTGTATTGCCTCCCCTTTCCAAGGCTGAGGGAGAGCATGGTGAGGAAGCAGCCACCTCACACAGCAGAAACAGAGCACGCTCTGTATTAAAAGGTAAAAATCTCATCTTAAACAGAGGTGAAAGCTAGCTGAAATGCAGTTGCTGAGGTTAGTCAAGCCAGGTGTTTAGTTGTAATAACACAGCAAAAAGATTAAAAATTCCACTTTAAACCAAACACACTTTTTGTAGCAACTCCGAACAATCTATTCTGATGACTCTAAAAGGAGTAATGCAACAAGGCACTGCATTTCTACCAGTATGATCATCTTTAAACTATGGTAATGGGATACTAAGACTCACCTTCCCCCCTGATCCAGCCATTTTTGTTTTTCTTCCCAAACAAAACCCAAAAAACACCCTTCTAAAATACCCAAATGCTATGCAAAGATAATCTGCCATGAACTGCTCTGAGCCCTGATAGCACAAGTGCCTGCAAAGAATCTGTCACTAAACAAAATAACAAGGGCTACAGCAAGGCAGTAAGGAGTATGCTTGAACTTCAGATGATCCCAAAGGACTATGAAAAAAAAAGAAAAAAACAGAAGCAAGGAAAAGAAAAGCAAGGACTTTCAGTTTTAACAACAGATTTGCTCATTCTGTTTTACTTTTGTGCCTTCTCTTTGGCAGTAAAACACAGCTTTTGATTACAATAAAAGGCTGCACAAATATTTACCACAATGGGAAAGTTAATTAGGGGAATTAATTTTAGACATTCTACTCATGATAGATTATAAAACAAAACACAAATTAAATAAAACCAAACCTTATGTTCAACTGTTAAAATACACAGTTTCATTATCAATGAGGGACAACATGTTTAAAAATCAAGAATATGGAAACATATGCTAATTTAAAAAAAAAAAAAATTACAGGCTACACAAACAGCACCGAGTGTTGCTTAAAGCTGCATTAGAAACTACCAGCTGTCTGATCTACTGCAAATTCCTCGTAATCTTATGTTCTCCTCCTGGGCACTTTGCTTTTACATCTTTTCCCAGTTTTGCCTGTTACTAGGTAGCGGTGGTTAGGATGGCCTATAAAGGAGCTCTGACTCATTCCATATTACCTCTGTTTAATAAAGACAAAAATCAGTTCACCTTTGTCAAATACTGACCAAGACTGAAAATCAACCACATTTCTGAATGGAAGCACAGACCGTGGCTACAGCACGCCAGAAGACAAAAGTCGAATTTTCTTTTTATCTGAGATATATTCTTTTGTGTGTCTTTGAGAATGGCCACACAATGCACCTCACTGAATTATATGATTTTAGACATCAAAACAGCTATTTTGGGCCACAGCCAACCTCATGGAG